AATATATAAAAGTAATATAATATAATAACAATTTATATTGTTATCACTTTGTAGTAAGCAAGATTGATGAGATAATGTTATAGAATGAAACTCCATTAAATTCTAGTGGGGGTTTTTGTTTTGTTGTTTTTTTTTTAATTAAAGGGTGTGAGAACTTTGTGTTTATAGGAATTCTGCAAATAATCAGATTTAAGAGAATTGTTAGGCATAAGAAAATGTTACAGTGCATTTAATTAGGAGTTGTGAGATGCTCTGTAGTTAAAGAAGAACGAAAACCAAAACCAAACCAAACATATTTCCCAAATTCCAGGTGTTGCACACAGCGTTAAAGAAACCAGACCAATATTAATAATCTGCATAAAGAAAGTAGTGAGGTCAGAATTAATGATGGAGTTTAAATACAGAAATTCATGTAGTGTTTGCTGTAGGAGGCTGTAGGAAAGTGGGGAAATGAAATGGCTATAAAAGAAAGGGGATGCTAAGTAGCACTGGCATTTGGAAAAAAAAAGGGAAATACAGAGTAGAACTAAGAAAGCATAGAATCACAGTAGTCACGGTATGCTCAGACACTTCAAATTTAGAGGAAAAAAAAAGAATAAAATAATTTTCCAGGAATGGCTTCCTTTCCTCCAAAATTCTTGATAAAGGATTTATATGTGTATGATATACACAGCATTGCATATTACTGTGTGAAAGAAATATCTTCCATGCTTTAGGCTAAGGAAGTCTTGTGAGTCCAGCTCGACAGAATTAAAAAAAAAGTTTCACAAAATTATTTAGATTTTTTTGTCACAAAAGAAATATTTTAAAATTTTACTCCACTTTGGAGGCCTGTTTTGGGGCCTATTTGCTGATCCAAACAGTAACTCAGTCTTACCTTCTTCCATGCTGTCCCTGAATGAACCTGAATGACTAATCGCTCGTGGTCTCTCTTCTAAGGATGTAGCACTGCCACACAGTTGGGAGTCATCATACAGATCAAAAGAAGTGTCTTGTGCAGGGATGCTGTTTGAACGCATCATGCTGGGTCCAGGAAGGTTAAACTGAGATAGGTTGGTTGGACTCACTGGAATACAAAGCTTTGTTAATGAAGCACATTCCATTAAATGAATTTTGGTTCTGCACAAAATTGTAATGTAGGACTAGCATGGTTAGGTGGACTTTACACTGTTGAGAAAATGAAAGGCTTTTTCTCCTACATACAAAGCCACCACAAAACCGTGAAGCAGGCGTTCTCCAAGGAGCTAGAGCTGGATGAGACTAATCCTGTAAAACACATGGTAACACTACCACTGGTGTCTGAATACACACTTGTTCACTTTGACAGCCCAAGACAGAAAATCGATGGGAAAGATGTAAAAGTTAAAAGTTGAAAAGGAATAAGAAATTGTAAGTATTTTTTATAAGCAGTTCTAATAATTCAGTATCTGTATTTTTATTGTTACATACCTATATTACCAACTGTTGTTAAGACCAAAGTTTATTGGCACATGCAGGACATATTTATCCTTTGATTTTCTACAACACCTACCACTATATTAGGTTAAAATTCAGGCACAGGTCAGTTGAATCTCATCATAATAAACAGGAGTCCCATCACTCATGGGTGAAATCCAGAACAGTGTCGATGAACCTACTTTAAGCTTTTGCAAAGTTTGTTTGCCAGTAGGAAGGAAAGCCTGGTCATGGTTCACGTGAACCACACAAACTAAATACTTAGAAGAAAAAGCTAAGGTCTATCCAAATTCAGCCTACATGTCCGGACTTTTATTTTACATCACACAAGATGTGCTTTAAGTCATAAACCACCAGAGCAGCTGTGTTGTGAGAGCAAATTATTCCACAGGGCTATGATAATGGTAAGAAAGAAAGGACAGTGACAAAATTAAAAAAAAAACCCTGATCTTATTGCTCTCTGTTGTGAGTACAAGAACTATGAACAAAAAGAAAAAGAAGATAATCGTAAGCAGAAAATGATAGAGTGAGAGAAACTCTGCTTAAAAAGAGCTGTGTCTAAAACTACTGCAAATACATGGAGGAAATCCAAAGCAGTGGCTTGCTTAGCCAGGATCCAATTTCATCATTAACAGTGGCTTTGTTCAACTTCTTTTTCCCATATGTAATAAAGACCAACATTTGTATGTCTGATCAAATCGCTTTTGAGTGATTGTAACCTACAGATGCCATAAACTGTGACAGAGTGACAGAAGTGTGAATGCTTCAAAGGTTGTTAATTCCACAGTAATGACCAAACCCACAAAAACTCTTTGTGAACCTAGGTATTTGTCCAACATGGTGCAAATAAACGGTTTTCTATTAAGCATTAAAGAAAAAATAAAATTATTAGCAAAACTAAATTAGTGTGGGATTAACTTGAAACAAAATCAAGAAGAACCAAATCTAAATTTTGACCTGTAATCAAATAAATATGAAATGTGACTCACATCCTAAAATATTATATTGTATTCAAGGATAGGATTTGGATCGGGCCCAGTGCAGTTATAGACAGGTCCAGCCACTGAAAAAAAAATTGAAATACCTATCTCAAAGCAAATCTGTATATAGGAAAAAAAACATTGTTTAGTGCCTGGGTTGATATTCACTAAAGTCACTGGAAAGAATCCTACTGCCTGTGAATCCTAAAAGATGAGAAACTAATTTCCAGCTCCGTCTCAGATTTTCTTCTCCTTGGGCAAGTCATAGGGAATCTGTGCCTTTCTTCTTTATGCAGAATAGGAGGTACCCTGTCCTACTCCATGAAAAACATCGTGAGTTTCCTTTCATTAGTGAGATACCGCAATATGGTGATGGAGATGTTAAATTAAATTAGCTAGCTTGGCAAACTAAGAAATATGAATGGTTGAGTTTTATGAGTCTAATCTAGAGTGAGAGAAACGGTGAAGGGAAACAGCATTTACCCAGGTTGGAAAAGTGATATTTTCCAGCTGCAGACGAAGACATAGCTGAAGGAGAAACAAGCGGGGACTGACTGCCAGTGTCTTGCAGGCCTCCGGTTGAATGGGAGCGCAGCCATTCCTTGCCTTCCTCCTGACTCGTCTGCCGGGATGATGGAGTATATCTGAAAAACCACAGCTGACATACTCAAAACAACAACAAGATGATGGTTCTGAAAGCAACAGGTGTCACATAAATACCCTTCACCGGTTAGACAGAACAGACCCCTTGGAAAACATCAAGTCTAGTCAAGTGATTACCACCAGGGATTTTACCAAGGTAAAATTTACCATCTTATTAGAACAGAAAAAATACAGGACTTGAAACCCCTTTCCTTTTCATCCCCCTCCCCAAAACAACATTCCCTTCCTTGATGATAAACCATAGAAGACAGACAATTTAGCTGACAGGAAAGGACTTCAAAGCTGCAGGAAGTGTACAAGTTGATGCAAAAGCTCGGAAGCTGTATGGCTAGGACAGGGAATGGACAGACTAGAAGCCAAGAAATGTGAGTAGCCGCTTACAAAATGATCTGCCACAGATTGTGTGGGCAATTAGTTAGATGACAGGAGTGAAATAGATCAACAACTCTAAAAAAGGAGTTTGCATCGGTAATGACAGCTACTCATGGTCATACACGTGGTCTGTTGCTCTGAATGCTACTTGGCATTGTGTCCTGCCCCAAACTGGGGGGAGGGAAAGGGACAGGAAAAATCCACAATTAGTAGAAATGAGTTCTCTGGAAGGAATAAGTCTGGCAATGAAATAATTCATCAACTGCTTCCTGTGGCAAACCAATAAAACAAGTGCAGCTTGACACATGGGCTAAGAGGGAGAACTGGTAACTCACCGGCCCAGCCTCTTTTGGCTGGACTGGAAGAAGGGCAAGTCTGGCAGTGGTTAAACAACAAAAAGTGCAGGCAGTGTGAGTCTTAACCAAGCAACTGTATTCAGCTATGTCTGCAATAGCCTGCTTCATTCAGCACAGTCTCCTGCTGAGCAATGAGCACCTTCTTCACCACCATCATGAGCCATCAGAGTTCCCCAAACAGCAGAGCAGAAAGGGCTTTTGATACTCTGGCTTCAGGCTTGCAAGGCACAAGTATTTCTGCTTAGAAAGCAGATTAAATGACCATGTAAGTTCTCATGTTGTGCTTGGGATTTTATACAATATTTTACAGCATTAAAACATCTTGTCCTGATTAAATATTTACTTCCTTTCTCCTTTCAAAAAGACAGCTATGATCTTTGCTTATAAATGTGGTAGAGCAGAGTTACCCAGCGGTTGTTGGATCAGAAAGATGGCAAAATGAGAATTCAGGATCTGGGTCTTGGACTGGGATCTCTGCAGATTAAATCAAACTGGTGATCTTTCTGGGATAATTGACCAGGGTTATACGCCTATAAGTGGTTTTCCCACTCCATTTCACTTTCAGCTTTCAGCCACCATTACAATCGTACAGCTGCAAACCTCAGTCACCCCATTGTACCCTTGCAGGGTCCCCTTCATGCCTCTTTTATGTCCTCCACCTTTTCCATTCTCTCCCAACCCAAAGTGATTGCTTTGGGATAACAGGAAATTTGATTAAATTCTTTTTAAGGAACAAATAGTGCAGTAGAGCAGAAGATGCTATCTAAGGACAACACTTTAGAACTAACTTAAAATTTTATAAAATATTATTTATCAATAACTCAAGAGATTTCACTGTGTGATTTCAGTGACTTGAAGGCTGCAGAGTGTCTGTGTGCATGCACATATACCCTTGACTGACAAATGTCCTTCCTGGAATAGGGGGATAGGCGGCCATGCCTGATGAGATTAGACAAGTTACCTAATGATCCCCTCTTTTAACCACTGAGCGCAGAAGAGGGTAGATGACTTCTGTTTTCTGTGATGAACACAGTTCTAATTAGTGGGGAATTAGTAGCAAAGTTGGACTCTGAGTATTGCTGGGTAGGGACCAAGAAGACTAGCTGGAGCAGGGCTCATTTTATACTTAAAAACCTTGGATAGTAAAATTAGTATTTATTATCCTTTACTTGATCTTCCATTCAAATTGGATGAATGTCCACATTTAAAGTTCAAGTTCAGATCCATCTCTAAAACCTTGTTTTTCCTCAGTAATGTTTTCAACAATTAGTCCCACTGAATTGGAAAATTATCTTGTTCTGTCTCTTTTAGCTCTCCAGGACTCAATGCCTTTTAAGATTCATTGCATAAGGAAACTATCCTTAACAGTATTCACTTTCCATGATGTATCTTGAAAGAAAATTTATTTACTAGGCAGACTTGGAAAGAAAAAATCCATTGTTAAATCTATGTTTTTTTGGTTTGAATCTAAGTACCAAGCACTCTGCTTTAAACAGGATCAACAAAAGGAGAAAGAAAAGGAAAGACAGTGTAGAAAAAGTTACAGAAAAAGAGAGAAGTAGCAGTCATGCTCAAAAAAATATATACCTTAATCCCTTTTTGGGTAGTGTATTTCTGTCAAGCTGCATGCTGTTAAAACAAAAAAAATCCCTAAGGACATACAGTAAACATGACTGTTCAGAATTACAAATTTCAAAGGTCTAAATATGTGTGCATAATAGAAGGTCATTTAATGCTTTTTAATATATCTTTCATGATAAATCCCTGACTCATTGGAGGGGACAATAGGACATGGATTGTTGCACATTCATTTTTCATTCAGACATGCTCTGGGCTGGGTCAATAGTAATTTGGAGACTGTCCAAGTCAGAAAGAAGTCCTTCCTTACCATTTCTAACCTTCCTACAGCTTCACCCTGCAATCTGTGCAAGAATCATATGCTCACAGTATGAATCTTTATTTTTCACAGTTGCCTATGATACGCCAATAGGTTTCCAAAAGAAATGAGGGTTGCAGCACCTGCTAAGAGACAGCATGGCCTTGCCAGAAGCCAAATGACAGCTCTGCATGTAGAAGTATGTGCTAAATATACAGACCCTTGGCTTTCTGTTGCTGTAGGGCTCACATAATGAGATGATGGTGGCAACAATGAAAAGTGGCACCAGAGCAACGTTATTCCATATTCATACATACGCAGTGGCAGAGTCCTGATCACTGGAGATCTATGACTGGAGTTTTCCTAATTCAAGCCCCACCACTAGAAGGACAAGCACTAGCCTTCCTTCAAATCGTGTCATTTGAGCGTTTCCTCATAAAGACTTGGCAGATCAGTCCTCAACTATTGTGGGTTGAATTTGAACTAGTTATCATCAAGTAAGTGTTGCAATGTTTTTTTCCTTAAGAACATAAACTAGTTTTGCCATATGGATTAATTGTGAAATGGATTTAGAAAGTTTCTGTATTACATATCATAATCACAGCTCAGAGAACAAAAGTAACTTAGGACCCTTCTTACTCAGGAAAACTCTCACACCGTATCTAAAGGTCATTTTCTATTGTGCCGGGGGTGCTGGGCACCCCACTGTCACGTAACCCAAATCCAAGTAGGTAAAGGCAGTGAAACTAGTGTTGGCGTTAACAATCCATTACCATTAGGGCTCAGTCTAATGGAAGTAAATCCCTCTTACCACCAGGAAGTTTTATAGGAAGTTTTATAGGAAATTTTACTAGTTTAATCAGGGCCTTGGGGAGAAAGCAAATGGAAGGAGAAACTTAGCAGGATTTCAGCACAGGCCCCACTATCACGGTCCATGTGAGGGTAGTCTTCCATCAGATAGAGAACTAAGTTTTCAGCATTTTGTTCCCAACATACCTAAGAGGACCACAAATGGTTCATAAAATGAGAACATACATTTGAATGCATGGTCTTTGTATTTTTTTAGTTCCTTACAGAAAAGAATGGATCCTTTATGTACCTTAATGCACCTCTAAATTTCAAAACAAACATGATCATAATAACAAAACCAGTTTCTTCTGCAAATACTTCAAGCATCCTAACGAACAATACATTTTCTCACATTAACTTGAAGTTCTATGTATTTCAAAAATAATATATAGCACATTATCTAAAATACAGGAGCCAGTCAGTGCTCCTTTATAACAATCCACAAATCAAAAGTTATTTCAGTTGGATAAATAGTCTAATAATGACCACAGGATTTTGCTAAAAAAATATTAAATTCAGATACTCAAATGAAAAAGGGGTGAATATTCCTCAGCATGAACATGGAGTTATTACAACTGCATTAAAGTGAATGCAGCAAATATTCATTTTGTGTTTTTAAAACACTAAATCTTGCAAAGATGCCCCTAGATGGAGAGGGTGTGAAAGCATTAACCTTGGTGCTATGTAACTATTAATTCAGACCCATAACTGCCCATATCTTTTTAGTATCTGAAAGCATTCCTCCACCAAGAAGATGAGTGTGTTACCTCTGCAGAAACTGGACTTCTGGTAAGTAGAACTGAACTGTAACGTGCAGTGACCCCATGAGGACACTACCAGCCTGACCTCAGTGCTCAAAAGATCTCTAAAGATGATTTGAAAAAATGCAGTCCTTTCCTTAAAGCAGCAATACATTCATGGAAAACTGTCTCTTTGGCTCCAAACAAATACGAATATAAAGTGGGGCTGAGAATATTGTAATATTCCTGATGTTTTCCTTTGTCATGCCAATTGTCAAAAGTGGTCTTGCCGGAAAATGCATGCAGATGTAGGCTGAAGTTACGAAGCCCACTGTATCTCCATTCCCTTTTGTTTATTTTGCACTGCTAAACCATCTGCGAGTTCTCTGGGGGAAATTACAGGAAGTCTTACACTTCTCAGGTTCCTACCTGCCCTTGGTGTTGATGCTAACTTGGGAAAGGGCCATGATGGCATATCTTTGGGCTATATCTAACTGTTGCAGAGCTGTAAGGGAATAAAACAAACTAATGCAAGGTAAGAAGCACCTAGAGAGGTCCAGGGAAGACTGGGCCAAGCTGATATGGGTTTTGTAAATTACTTTCTACAAATGGTTGGGCACACAAGAAAATCTGATACATGATGCACTGTTTCACACCTTAAAACCACATCCATCAACTATGATGACAATTTAAAACAACTGAAAGTCTTGAAGACCTTAAGTGGATTTCAATGTACTTTCATGGCCCTCAAAACTAAACATTCTTTTAAAATAAACCAGAGCAAGCCAGTCGTGTAATTAGAAACCACTTCCACTCTTACAGTCACAAAATGCAGCCATTATTGCTGATGAGACCATTGTTAATTCTTATACTTCTGTTTTTTTATCTAGCCCTTGCTATGCCACTCAGACCAAGCAGAAGAAAGACATAAATTTGCAGCACCCGACAGCAATTAAAGGTTCAAAAGGACTATTGGTGATGTGTCCACCTGGAAAATTTTATCAGTTAAAGCAGTGATATTTCACCAATTAATCCCAGTATACAGTTTTATTTTAGAGTATAAGTACCTGGATGATTTATTTTATTCTCTCTAAATTGTTGTAAGCTAAAATACAAGTGTCCTCCCACATAGGGAGTTACACTTCTATAACAACAGAAGAAGACTTGTCTAAATAAATACTGCTAGTGCAAAACCAGAAAAAGTCTTGAGGGAGATGCAAATTTTGCTGAAAAAGCAAGTATTTTACTAGTATTTACTGAACCCTTTTTCTGGTTACTACAATGCAAAAGAATTGCATGGAATGACTTAAAGTTTGGCTGGATTAAATTTTGACACTGTATCAATACAGCAGTTGGCAGGGAGCACTGTGTTCATGCCCTACCATTGCTTGGTGGGCTTGCTTCGTGTGCTTGCCTGAAGACTCTTCTTCAGTCCTAATGACTGCAGGGCTATTGCAGACTCTCTCTGAAGCAGGGAAGTGAAAAGTTCATTAGGACTAGTAAATTAGAGTAATCTTTAACCTTTTCATTTCCTCTTGCATGCTTGTCATTAATAATGCTTCGCTATCAGATTGCAGTTAATGCTTCAATGAAGCAAAGCCATGTTTATTTGTATCATCTATTATTAGCGCTCTCTTCTCTTTTAGCTTTCCCTAGGCTTTATCCGTGTAGAATTTATGTCGCCTGATAATTGTATCTAATTTTGTGCTTTCGGTCTTTCTCATTTTGTCTCTACATTCTGTTAGTATATCTCACTACAGAGACTGCTCATTCAATCTTTTGCAAGCTCTAGAGTGACTGAAGAAAAAGAACAAGGGTCTTTGAAGATAATTCTTATGCCAGGCTACAGCTAGCATTACCAGAGGCACCTCAAATTATAGAATCATAGAAACATAGAATAGTTTGAGTTGGAAGGGACCTTTAAAGGCCATCTAGTCCAATCACCTTGCAATGAGCAGGGATGTCTTCCACTACATCAGGTTGCTCAGGGATGGGGCATCTACCACCTCTCTGGGCAACCTGTGCCTGTGTTTCACCACCCTCACTGTGAAAACTTTCTTCCTTAAATCTAGTCTAAATCTACCCTCTCTTAGTCTAAATCCGTTACCCCTTGTCCTATCGCTACAGGCCCTGCTGAAAAGTCTGTCCCCATCTTTCTTATAAGCCTCCTTGAAGTACTGGAAGGCTGCAATAAGGTCTCCCTGGAGCCTTCTCTTCTCCAGGCTGAACAACCCCAACTGTCTCAGCCTGTCCTCATAGGAGAGGTGTTCCATCCCTCTGATCATTTTTGCAGCCCTCCTCTGGACCAGCTCCAACAGGTCCATGTCTTTCCTGTGCTGAGGGCTCCAGAGCTGGATGCAGGACTCCAGGTGGGGTCTCACCAGAGCGGAGCAGAGGGTCAGAATCACCTCCCTGGACCTGCTGGCCACGCTGCTTTAGATGCAGCCCAGGATACGGTTGGCCTTCTGGGCTGGGAGTACACAGTGCTGGCTCATGCCCAGCTTTTCATCCACCAGTACCCCAAATCCCTCTCGGCAGGGCTGCTCTTGAGCCCTTCATCCCCCAGCCTGTGCTGATACTGGGGGTTGCCCTCACCCAGGTGCAGGACCCTGCTCTTGGCCTTGTTGGACCTCATGAGGTCCAAACGGGCCCATTCTTCGAGCTTGTCCAAGTCCCTCTGTAATCTGAGTTTACAAAGGAAAAAGTACATAATTTTTTGCCAGACGTATCTGCCTCTAACTTTGCAAACCAATGCTTTTGTTGTGAAAAATTATTTTGCTACACGTAGGTTTTACTGTCTAAAACACTTTAGAAATAACACAGCACTTGTAACAGGCCTTTCAGAAAAATTAAATAGCAAAAACCCTATTGGGGCTTTAATTCAAGAAATGACACCATTTTTCTCTAGGTACATATATTTGTTTTGAGGCCAGATCAACATTATAAATGGCTCGCTCTGAACTCAGTCATAATATCCCCATATGGACAAATCTGAAACTTAAAAATATTGCCAAAGGCAAAGTATTTGGAACCACTGAAATTAAGTCACTGAACAAATACATAAAGTATTAGTAGTGGGGGTTGCTCAGGAGCTTATGCCAAACCATTAACATTTTAAATGTGATGTTTAACATCCTCTGAATAAATATGATCTTTGGCATAAATTCATACTCTTCCACATCATCCTATTGACCTCACCATCCATATGGGTAGCACTAAAAATTAGTGAAGGGTTTTATAACCTAAATATGAATAATTAACTTTCTAATAGATATTGTCATATTCAGTTTATGGCACACAATGCAAATTACTATTTAAAAATTAAAAGCACAGTGCAAATTGCAAATTACTCATGTATCAGTGTGTTTTTAACTACTGTTGTTACAATACATTATCTTGGTACATACATACGTTTTATAGTGTTGTAATTATATTAGTAAGAGGTGTGATTTTAGGTGATATAGTAATACTTATGAATGTAACATAAGAGAATGAAATGTGTGGAGAGTTTCCATCTAGATTTGGCGAAGAGTTGTTTAGAATTTTAGTTTAGTTTGTTTAGGTTTTTTTAATGCTGATTCACTGAAAGTGAAATCTTTCTATGGAAAGGACTGGTATTGAAAAATCTTTTTTTATATAAAAGGAAAAAAGTTTTTAACATTGTATATTTTTGACATATATACATTTTTTCCTTCAAATAATCGTATATTTTCTAAACAACTAAGGGTAACCTTTAAAAGTTTACGTTACTCCTGTCTGACTCTAGTATAATTTTCTTTTTTGAATCAAAGGCTAATGAAATATTTAATATTGACTTTTCAATCCCCATGTGACATAAAAGTTCAATAGTCAAATCTTGAAAGTTTTCACAGGAAAAGAATATCACTTAGTGCCTAGAAAATTTTATTTTTTTCTCTCTTGTAAAAGGCAAATAAATATTTCACACATAGTTTTTTTTTTTTTTTAATTAAAAAAAAATCATGGTACAACTGTGCCAGAGGGGATGCACCACTTTATAATATAAATTAAATGGAAAAATACCTGCATGTCCAAAAGATATTTAAAACAGCAAACAGAGGAAAACCTTTTCTTACTTTTTTTTGCCTGTTCCAGACACTCAGCAGGACTGTGCATATAGTGAGGATCTCATCTTATAAATTGTCTCCCTGGCAGTGACACTGCCTTTTAATAAGTATCCGTGTAATGATCACCATGTAAGAAGCAGCTTGTCAAGACTGGGCATTTTAAGGCAAGACTGGACAGCTCAAGGCAGGGGACCACCAGCTCTGCTTTGAGCTAATGGGACGAAAACTGGTGGGGTCCCGCTGCTGGAGAAGGTTTGTCACCAAGAGGGCAGTGATACAGCTTTGGAGCTGCCAGTTGCTGGGACAGCAACTAGATCCAGCATGCAGGACTCATTCGGCAGCTCTTCAGATTTGCCTTTAATGAGACAGTTTTCCCCTTTTCTCTGGTTGTTCTCCAGAACAAGGGAACAAAAAAACTTCTCAAGATAGAAAATGTGCTTGTAAAACCTTAAAAGGCAGTTGGTTCCATGTCCAATGCCTGCAATTACTTTATAGTTTTCTTCCTTCCTTCCTTCCTTCCTTCCTTCCTTTTTTACATAAAGGACTAAGCTGCTAATAAAACAGTGTCCCTTCAGGAAAACAGGTAAAGGGTTTATTTTTTTGGCTCCTGTGCTTTTGCCTCTCACTGGTTTCGTGGTCGCTGTATCTATAGGCAAGCTCACCTTTCCGAAAGAGTAGATCTGACGCTTCCAGTCCTCATGAGCAGGCTCTGAACCTCCTGAGTGCTTGTTGTCAGTCCAGAGAGAGAGCCATGATGGCTAAGAGGAAGGTCAATAGACTCGGAACTGGTGTGAAGGCTAGTCATGGACTGGTAACTTGGTGTGTCCTTACTGCCCGCTGAAGAGCTGCTCAGGTTTGCAGCCCACACAAGACCACCTGATGTGAAAGAGTGCACTGAGGCGGGACTGGAAGCCAAGGAGTGACTTAAGCTTACAACATCTGCATTTAAGTCCGAAGGTTTACTGAAGAGGGGGCTGCTGCTACCACTTTGCCCACCTGCACTGCCCATGCTGCCTGTGCCCGAGGATGGCGATTCCAGGCTGCCTTGCCGTGCCAATGTGGTACTAGGGCTGGGCATTGCCGATGTGGGTTTCACACCTTCAGTACTGGGTGCAGAGGCAGCTTTACCACTTGCCTTGGCACCAAACAACCTAAATGTAAAACAAATAGCTTTAGAGAAACTGATAGCCACATTAAACATTCATGGCGTAACATCCTAAGAGCCAAACTACACATTTTTAATTACCGCTACTAAAATCATGCCTACCTAGTTGATCAATCGCATCGCAAAATTAAATTCACTTAACCATATCACAATAATCAGGGTTTGTTTCATTAGCAACAGCTCTCATTCACTCCTGTTCAGCTGTGCTCTTTGCACATACTGACCCTCCCAGAGAGGTAAAATAATCACATTTTTGTCTTATTAGTGCATAAACAGATTACACTTTCACCCAAATTCAGTAATTAAGCATTCCCACGGCTAACTCGTTAGCATTCCCACGGCTAACTCATTAGCTTTTAAACCCCTCGCTTCTCAAATCAGCTAAAAAGATTGCAACAAACACTTGCAAAATCCTTCATAGTTTAATAAACGTCTAAGTATTTGTGTAAAATGTCCCTCTTGTTCTTTTGCACAGATGGTCATGCGGTCATCGGTCATGTAGTAACCGTTCAGACAGAATAAACTGCACTGGAGCTAGATGGGCTCGGTTTGTCTCCAGGGGCAGTCATGACAGAGGTGTATTTCACATAATTGCTTCCAGCAATTCTATAGAAGAAAATTCTAGAGTGATGATGAAAAAAACCCCCCAAATCCTCTAAAACTGTTGAAATAAAAGGTCATGTGATGACTTAATGTCTTACTGGAAATCTTTTAAGCTGCAGTTATGGTGCAGCTCATAAATTAATGAGAAATACATGCAAAACTTATCGTGAGGTAAAGTAAGCATGGCTAATAACATAAGAATCCATTTTACGTATTACCAAGCCCACAAAAATCAGCGGCAGCTCCCCAGCAGCCTGGAGACGCTGTTTTGGTATTCAGGCACGAGAGGGCACTATTGGCTTTGTAGCCAACAGTGCAACCGCTGCATCCCCATTTATACTTCGTCCAGATTTATGCTTCCAGAAACGTTACAATAGAACATTTCCAATTGAAATTTAGCTCTGTTTGTGATAAAAAATGTAGAAAAGCTGCTAAGATAATGAAACGTTTGTAGCTGGAGCTGCCAACAACGTGAAAGCAAATGCTTTGTTTATCTATAGAGCTCTTCAGTTCTCCGACCAGGCTGTGGCATTGCCTGTTCCAGTAACAGAACGTGCCTGAATGTGACCTCCTTCTTCCCTCTGGGGGTTTACCAGAGTATTGAGAGGGAACTTCTCATGTTCCTGAATATTCATTAGGAACTTGGAATCATGGAATATCTCGAGTTGGAAGGGACCCATAAGTATTATTGAGTCCAACTTATTCTAACCTTCAAAGTGTTGTTATGGGAATGTACCTAAAATGCTCAAAGCTCAAGGAACAGTCATTTCAGGTCTGGGGAGGTTTTTAAGGCCTTAGAAAATTATTGCGTTGTGTGAACAAATATTATCTTTTTATTTATTTTTTTTTAACTCGGTTCTCTGTTTGTAGCAAAATATGCCCTGAGAAAGCTTTTTGCCCAGTGCTTTAACACATTGAAAAATCCCTGCTTTATATACTGCAAATTCCGGAATTCACAGAAAAGCACTAACCTTCGAAAAGTGGGTGAGGCGATATCTGGGTATTTGGATCCCGGCTGCCTAAGTCCTGGCGTGCCAGAGGCGCTCGCAGAAGTTGGGCTAGATTTGGGTGAACTGGACAGCGAGACGCTCTCGGAATCGGACACGGCCACTTTCTCTTTTTCTTTGTCTGTCTGGTTGATGGTGACGGGGCTGGACCGCCCGGAACCGATCTTGCTTGGCTCTCGCAGTTTGGTGGCAGCAGCACCTGCAGACTTGCTGCTGACGTTGGAGTCGATGCTGCTGGTGCTGGAGCGGTGGCCGCCCCTGCCGGGGATCCCGCTGCCACTGGATTTCGATGGGCGAGGCAAACTTCGATACTGCAGAGTCGTCTTCGAGTTCACGTGCAGGACGCCGTCATCCTGGTTCTGAGAACCGTCTAAGCTTGTTTTCCGCCCTGCGTTGGACTTCCCGCCCATGGCTGAAGATTTTGGCATTTTTCCTAGAGTCGCCGACCCGCTTGTGATAGTCGCTCCACTTGTGGTGATTATGGTAGAAGATGCCATCCCAGACTTCTTGAATCCAAAGGATCCCGTAGCTGTTGATCTCCCAATGCCAGAGGGAGGTTTTTTTCCTTCATCGCCGCTGCTTTTTCCTGCATCCGATGGAGAGCGCTGGATGGAGGCTCCTTTTAGGGGGGTCTTCACTTTTTCTGAAGCTTTTGCGTCATCTGTTTTTCCTAAATAAAAGTATATTTGAAAAGGACACTTGTGTTTAAGCTGTAAAGTCTCCATATCTAATTTTAACACTATGTGGTTACAATTTCAAAATGAAAAAGTACACAAACAGAAAAATTACCCTAAGAAAACCGACCGATTTAGTCTTTAGTCCTCCATCAGCAGTCAATAGTAGGTACAACACATCACAAGTAAGCATTAAGTATTAAAAGCTTGAAATTCTCCTGAGAACTTCCTGTTTCATATTTAGCTGAAGAGCATAAATGTAGAAAATTATCCTGACTGAACTATAAGGAATTTTATTTGCTTTTTTTTCGGTTTTTCTATTGGTAAAAACTGATACTTAGAAATAAAACGTGACATGTAATTAACATTTCCAGAAGTATGACATTAATTATGCATGTAGAAATTAATGGCACTTATTGAGTCCTTTGGTTTTCACTGATTACATTTTTTTTTAGCTTATAACTAAGTTTATTTTGGTTTTAATTACACAAAATTATGAGGGAGAGATTATGTTATCACGGTATGAATCTTCTTGATCTATAACGATATTAGTTACATGAGTTAATAGCCTTTGTCATATCCTTGATATCTCTTCAAGATTTTGGATTTTCTGAGAGGCTGTCTTCAGTACCGCACAGACACACACCTATATATCATATATTCCCACATAATGTTATTGTGACATTTAGAAAGATTTAAATAAGATATCCTCTTCCACCTGAAAAGAAAATATCCTTTTCCTATTTTACAAACACACAAAAAATGCCGTTTTCCTTCTGTTCTAATTTCTCTTTAAGCATTTACTGTATGGTCCTAATAAGGAAAAAATATTCAGTGTAACAAAGTTTTTAATTCACTCTTCAAGTGATTATGGAAGTTTCAGAGGTGGGTGGCCTAATTCCTCTTAAGGAACGAAACTGTAATAAAGAGCAACACCTACAAGTCAGAGCTAAATCCACTCATGTTTTTATCTAGTGCACATTTTATGCTACACAAACACATGCACATGCCAAGAAATGGATCAGACTCCTACACAGTGAACACACAGAAATATAATATGTATAATATATGCTTGAAAAATTAAGGCCTCAGTTCTGTGTTGCAGAGTGCCTGCCTACTCATCTTCAGCAAAACGGATCTGGGAAACTTAGCCTGGCATGTGGTAAACCTTGTAGTATCTCCTTTTTCAGTTGCTACTACAGGGGTATCATTTCTGCATCCATATGACCACTGACCATAGTAATGCTCCTCAGGGATCTTATAGACCAGAGGCTGACCAATGTTTAGCAGTTCCAAATTGCAAAGAAACAAAAGAGGCTCACAAAGGATTGGATTTATTCTGAGGAGATCTTCGTTAGTTGCCTTTACAACTCAGCGTTAAAGCATGCTCATGCAGTATTTTGTCAGGATGTGACAAAGGTCTAGAAAATGTCCTACAAAGAATCGATATCATCCTAGTAAAATGATGGATTATGTGGTCCTAATAATAATGTCTTCCATCTACTTTGGATTTTTTTGCTTCAAAACTAGAAGAAGTGGTTACTACTTCTGAGAGGCCTTCCAAAATTAGGTAAGAAGTCATCTAGCGCTGAAGAAAGTGTGTGAAAAGCAATTTTTTACAATTTTTTATCTCTTAACAGTGGTCTATAGAATACCCGCAGTATCTGGAATGTGACAATTCAGCTTTAGTTCAGAAACGCTAATTTTGAGTCCCCTCACTTGAATGTTAAATCTTTTTATCTCAGCTTCTAAACTTTAGCCATTTCTATGCATATGTTACATTATCAAAGGTACAGGTTTTCTAGAGAACAAAGATAAGGCATAGATGAGTCCAAAAATACTTTTAAGAATTCCTTAATAGGAGTTGACGTACTAAAATGATAATAAAATAAAATGCAATCACAGTTTTTGTTATGGATACATTCATGTGCCATTAATAAATTACTAGTATGCAGTGTAGCAAACTAACAGAGATGAACAAGTTAGTCTATTATTACAATCTTGGCTTGCAGTTATTTATCAGAAGAACTACCAACATGCTTACAGTTCCTCACATCTGTCACACATTTATAAGATCCATTAATTATTTTTAGCCCACTAAAGATTCCTTACTGCTTATAGGTGAACTCTAAGTAGAAAACCTTAATTTTCAATGCTGTAATCTGAACTACAGAAGTTTCCTACCCGGGGTCTTGAGCGCACTTGTTCCTGCTTTGTGCCGGGACTGAGTTGTTCCTACTTGTGCAGTCATGCCTCTCCTCCAGGATCCCGTCTGTGAAACAGAGAGAGATGCTTTCTGTCCCCCCTTCTCCGACTCTTCAGACAGCCCCGAGGGAAGGCCTTTCCACTTGCCACTGCTGTCTACACTGCTGTCAAAGTCTTCCTCTGGTTTCTTCAGTTCTTCCGTGCTGCCCCAAGTTTCGCTGTCTGTAACTGAGCGCTTCTCCGAGTCCGTCTTCAGCTACAAGAGATTTGCATGAGAAATGGTCAGTCTCAGCACCTCCAGTATTTGCTGATTTCTTAAATCACAGGAGGGGAGGAGACTAAATAAGCACATTGATTTATTTGCAGCAAGGGCCATGGAAACTTCCCTTATAAAACATTAGTGTCCTGATCCTGAAAGTTTAAAAACATTCCCATTTCGGGAAGACTTTTTTTCTTTCATTTTCAAAAGATTTCAACTCTCTCCTTCACAGATAAACCATAATGAAGTGAAACATAATTTACTTTAATCATCAGTGATGATACCTTATTGTTCCTCAGCTCTCTCTGAATTTCACAAATGAATCACTGCTCTAGGTGGTTTTACTAAAAGTTTGAATGAGGGAATTTCTAAATATCCTACTAAAACTGCCTCAGTTTGGTTACTTGCCTTTTCCAAACCAAGCCTTCCACTGACCGAATAAAGAACATTGCTCCCGGCAGCGCTGAGTACGTTGTACCACCAGTGAGCAAGGATAACACCTTCAGCAACATTATCAGCGCTACAGCTGACGGCTTTTCTACTGGTTTGTCTCCATTGACATGAATTGTTCCCAACAAGGAACTCACTCTAGCTATATCAGATAGCAGAGCCGCTAGGAGAGAGGCTTACGCGAGCGCTACCCACCAGCGGGGTGAAGGTAACCAGCTGGGGTCACACTTGCTCTGAAACTCAGACCCATGTGGAAGATGCCCCCGTGAGGACCTGACACCCCTGCGGCATTTGCTTTCCGGGCTGCCTGCTGATAAGGGTGTGCAAGGAGCAGCCCGAGAAGACAGACAATGTAGAAGCTGTGAAAGTGGCTTAAATAGAAACGTTGGAGACTGACCCTGCGCTCTGTGTTTGACAGGACTCGCCGCCTTTGTGCTGACAGGCTGTTCGTTGTAACCCTTCCTCCTGCATTTTCCAGCAGCCTCCCGACATCAGCCTCAAGCCTTATTTGCACATCGTCATCTCTCCAGTCCTGCTTACCTCTGCCCCTCCTTAACAGCAAAAAGTGGTGCTGCTCTCAGGTATCGCTGTGCACTACTTTTGCCTGGTGTAATCACAGCCCTATCCTCATACAGCCAACCTAAGCGGGACTGCAAACTGGATCGCCTTCAGGGGAGGGCTGTTCATCATTCTGTGTTGCCACAACTCCTTCTCCACAGAGACCCCTCTGTGGCTGTTTCCTAGGTGCTGCTGTCATAAGTAGGATTAATACTGGTTAGATGACGGACAGAATAATCGGTTGCTGTTTACATATTTGTCATCTGAGGCATGGAAAATGCAAAAGCTCTCTGCACTTCCGTAATTTCATATGTGCTTTGGAGACGCTAGCACAGATTTTGGGTAAGGACTGATGGGAAAGAGCCCAAGCAAACATCTACACAAATATTGCAGGGTCCTTCAGAAGAGAGTTTTCATCAGTGTTATTGTTACAACACATATAATGTCCCCAGAACTTTTCTCATAAATGAATGGTTATAAACACATAGCTATACATTTTTAAAGCAAACTGCATCATTTCCAAGAAGCAACAAGTATAATACTTTCTAAAAGCCCGTCTTCACCATTATGGGATCCAAAAAGCGATGTTAATCCTCTTTTAATAAGAAAACGACAACAAAAATATGCAATTTCTGCCTCAGGCTATAGCCAGCTTGCATTGCTCCAATGACTTAAAAAGTGCAAAAGGGATCTCTGTGTTGCATGAGTATGTCTTATACCTGGAGAACAGCTGGCAAAATACTTACATATTCTGCTCATCTCAGCTTCTGGCTGTGATTGCAGGCTAGCGTGGAGTACAGCATGTTCTGATTAATCTGCCCAGTAAAGGAAGACCTGATAAAAGGCTGTTCCTAACCTTCATAACATAAAGCAACTCTGGCATGAAAGGTACGTTTCAACACGTGTTGCATCTCTGTCTATCACTGAAGAAAGGCCTATAAATAACATCTGGTTCAGCCTTCAGCAGCTAGATCATGAGATCACTTGAATGAAAAACCTGCAAAGAGTTAAATAGTCAGTCTGAGATTTCCCAGTCATGATGATGATGGTGCTGTGGAACAAGTAAGTCAGGACTAGCTGGCCATCACTATTGATGTGAAAGGGAAGAGGCTGATCTCCAGTTAGTAACCATGGGAGACCCTGATGGGGTGAGAAGGGCAATGGTAAGGGCTGAAGAATGCTGGCATCTGCGTGAGTATCTTTGCATGAGTACAACATTGGTCTGAAATCTGTCCTCCTGCAGATTAAAGAAATCTTCATTCCCAAAGTAACTTTATTTCCCCATTGCCTGCTGGAAATGACAAATACGTGTTTTGCTCCTGTTGACAAAGTCTGCCGCAATGTGCATCTACAAAACAGATCTCTGAATTGCAGGCACTGGCTGCCTGCAGGAGTCCAAATGGAATTGGGAGTGTCAGACTTGTGTCCTGAACACTTGACATAAATCTCTGGAGGCAATAACTCTTCCCCTGTGCTGAGTGTTCAGTCTTTAAGTTCCCTGCTTGTAAACAGGAGACGACATGGCAGAGAATGCTTTTCTATTGGGATTAACTCTTCTGTTTTTTCTTTCTTTTTTTTGGAGAATTGAGTCCTGCAAGCATTCAGCATTGTCTTTCTCATCACTGCAATTTTGAGGGGAGCTGGGAAGAAATACTGGGATACCTGGCTAAACGGCTTTATAAATATATATATACATACATATATATGTATTAAATATATAGGTTGTGGATGTACACTGCTCAGAACTCTACTTTGTCATCTTGTGGGCGCATGGGACACTTTCCTGGACCTAAGTGGGCAGAAGAGAAGCTCTGCTGCCTGCAGGCTCCTCCCTTCAGCCTCTTTTCTCCCAGTGGAGAGAACAGGGAAAGGACAGTACAGCCTGTGTATTTTTTTCCCTGATATGTGTCAGCTCTTGAAGGATGAAAGCTACCTTATTTTAAATTGTGATATCTGCTGAAAGAGATACTCCAAATGGGACGAAGTGAGCAGAAATCTACCCATCACAGATCCAGTCATATTGTGGTGTTTTTGTGTTAGGCTGCAGCAGGGGCTGGGGGCTTCCTGGGGCTGGGACCAGGGCGGGCAGAAACAGTGTCTCACCAGCCAGCACCTTCAGCAGTGGGGTGTGCCCTGGGAGCAGGGCATCTGAGGCATCAGCCCACGGGTCAGGGTTGGGTCAGCGGGGTCCGTGGGCTTCTTGCACAAAGTGTGATAGAGGAGTTCGTAAAATATGAATATTTCATTTGTTTCAGAGGCATGGAGACTAAACTTTTTTCTTTGTTATCCTGCATGCTTGTGGGGTATTGCAAGAAATGGCAATGAAAAGCTACTCACCTGGGCATGAGTGTTCTTCCTTGAAGAGGCAGTTATATTGGAATAAGAGCTGACAGATGAGGTGGTATTCAAATCATCCGTGCTGAGGTTGTCAAGAGTGTCACTGAGGCCACTACTAACTGAGCTGCTGTCATCCCAGCTGCAGAGAAAGGATGATACTGCGCGTCAATAGGCAGAAAACATCTCAAAATCAATAAATGAGATCACTTATTCTTCAAGAGATTTACCAGAAAATTTGCAGTAATATTTCCTAGTGTACAAAGAATATTAGTTTTCAGACTTTTTAATTAGTTATTCACTCACTGTCAAGTGGTTGCTTGTTCAATTAATGAAAGACCCTGGTGCCTTTTAAAAAATTAACATCAGGTCTAAGCAAGCACTAGTATAAGTCATTAAAACAGGTTGTTTCATGCTTCATTGCAATCACATTCAGTACACTGGCAGGGAAATCCATTAAACCTACCTGATATTGCTAGCCAAAGCATTATTAATAGCTTGGATAACACCTGATGGATTTCCAAGCTACAGAAAAATAAAAGGAGTATCTCAGCAGGAAGACAGTATTTCCAAAAGTTTTATTTTTTTGTCTTCAGCCTTTGTCTAGTGGGTACAATGTCATCAAAATATGATTCCCTGATGATACAGTCACCAGAGTTGACAGAGAACATGTTATGTATCTCTCAAGAAACACAGGCTGTCAGCTCTTCTGCTTTGGGAGATCGAGGCAGAGGATGCAAATGAGAGAAAGGCTGCTCTCATAGAAATGTCACTTACAAAAGCCTTGCTTTTGCACAGAAGGGAGGTTGATCTGTGTTTCTCAGACCTTTCTCTACACAGTTGCTTCTCCGTTGTGTTACATCATGACTCTTCGCTTGTTGCCATATACAGCAGTATACTCTCAGTTTTGCTGCATCTCCACCTGTTAATCTTGCTTTGGATCATTCCCAGGCCACCGAGTTTGAAAAATATTCACCTTAGCACTTGCAGTGGGATTCGTCTGCTGTAGTTATAACTATATAAAAGTTAGGTATCTCATTTAAGCTATCTATCTAGGTGCCCTCTCTGACTAGTAAAGCAGCAAGCTCCTCTAGGGGGTAATTCATCCTGGCTGAAAATGTCTCAGGTTTGTGGGACGAACTGTCCACTGAAGGTGCCTCTTTCTGTCTTTCCCTCTCCTAGAGAGGAGAGGGTTGATGAAGCCTGTTCTAAACACGTAACTTCTGGAGAGGCAAAGCTAGGTGACATGTTTATGCATGCTGTTAAAGTTCAAAACACAAGAGAGAGTACATAACATCCTTGTTTCGCTGTAGCCTATGTCATGAGCTGCCTTTTACAAAAAATCTAAAATTCAATCCCACAGTCAAGTTAATGCTGAGTACTCTTGCTACTAGTCATTCAGAGCAAACAAGGAAAATATCTATGAACCCTTATTTTACACGTGGGGTTTTGGGAGATTAAATTCACTTGTCCACTTGTTCATGGAAGGCTTTAGAAAGTCATAACAGCAGCAACAGTCAAGTGCGTGGTACAAACTGGGTGCTGATGCACCAGAAAGTTCAGTGGCACTAGGCTTGTATCATAGCAACTGCAGCAAGCGTTACCTTCATTTTGCGAAAGGTAAAAAATCACATTAGTAAGCCAGCTCAGTGACAAGAGGAACATATTTCAGAGGGTGAGAGTTTATTATAGTGCTGCACTTTCCACTGTTGAGTGCAATGACTACAAATAAATATGTCGTCTGCAAAATTTCCAGGTAATATACAAGTGTGTGATTTAATAATGTAATTTAATATTTAACCAATTATAATATCATACCTTATAGGCTGCCCACATTCATCTAAGAACCATCTCTGAAGCACTAGTTATTTATACTTTCTGTATTTTTCACTGTCTAACATGACACAGAATTTCACTGATGCTACAAACCTTTATTTAAATGCTATGTACCACATGGGAATATACCTTGTATAAACAGTGTTAAGACTGAAAACCTTAAAGACGGATAAAAACATAAGTAATATTAAATGTGGTTAGGTGTTAGAAAAGATAATATGCCCTTATTAAAAGTTACTTTAAAAAAGGGGAAAAAAATCTCAAGCTGGATCCCAAATCAGATATATTGGGTACTTTCACAAGCAACAAGGACTTTTAATGTATGACATTCTTAGCAATTAATACTTGACCATCAGTTTCCCAAGTCTACTCTAAGACCCTGAGGACCAAGATCAATGTTTAATTCTCTTTCTCCATGTTTGTTTGTTATTTTATTCTATTTTAATTTTTGGTACTTCATTTCGTGCTCATTTTTCTCTGTAAGAAGATTCACATTTTCTAAACTCTGAAATAGTTCAGCTGATTCACAAAATATAAACATGTTCTCTGCAACTGAGGTTTTCAGGCAAAAATGACTATGATCATGTTTCCTTTCTATTATGTCTTCTCTGTGGTGTTTTACAACTTGTCACACCTCACTCACCAGTGGATTATTAAGAGGTTCTGGGAATGCTCATGGCCATTTTGTAAGATATATAGAAGATTATTTTGACACCTCCACTACTGATCTTTCAGAGTCATCACTATATTTGTCTGGATTTTTATTCTTTTATGAAAGGTGCTCAAGATGTTTTCTAAATTGGGGGCTTTCATACCACAAAATTTCTGCTAATATTCAGTATGCCTGTAAAAAACAGGAATACCCAAACCCTCTTTCTTTCCTGTATGGCATTTTTCTAAGGACTATTAGAGAAACTGATTCCTACTTGGCACAATGTTTTGTACCAACCTTTTGAAAATACATAGTTAAAATAGAAAACTGCAACAAAACAGACCGTATCTCTCACCCTTTTAGCAATGAAGATCATTGTTCCGTGCTTATTTTAGTGCATTGTGAAGAGTTGTTTTAACTTGTTTGTGCAGCTAAATCTTTTCTCTTTCAGCACTTACTGTTTCCATCTTTTCAGCCCTCTTTCCACATGGTTAGATAGTATAGTTGCTATCACATGAGTTAATATAGTTTTTGGATAATGAAGGTGCCTTATCTATAATTTGGAAAAAAAATTCTTTATGATTTGTATTCATTTGCCCTTTAAACTAACAAATGTATGACAAACAAATTGCTAAAATTAGATGTGCATCACCCTGAGATTTGAAAATCCATTCTTGGGTGTCTGCAGCGAATTCTCACTCTAATTTCTGTGCTTGTTCCTCCTAGCCCTCATCAAAACAATATTCATTGTCAAACTGCACCTAAGGGACTTCATATAGGCTTTTAATATAGTGGCTAAGATTCATCTTTCATTTTCATTTTATCTTTCATTTACTTCTTTCTTTTTCATGCATCCTACAGAGTCAGGTTTTTGACAGGTCAGGTTACCGCTGCTGCTTATTAATGCCTGACACCACTTCCCTTTTTAAAACCGTATTTTATCTACTTACAATGTTGGCAAAATCTACTTTTTTTTCCTCATTGGGTGTCAGCCTCAGGTCGATTTCTTTAAAAGAAAATGTCAGCAAATGTAGTTCAGCTATCTGGGAGATTGAGGTTAAGAGAAAAATGCCTTATTTTGACAAGTTCTGGCAACCTTTTCTTTGAGAAACCCCTGGATCCCAAGAAGCACTAGAGAAAAACGTTGAAATTTAGCAAGCCGTAATCTTCACATTAAGGATGTGCATTTTGCTGTTTCTAAAGAGAAATCCTCTCAGATCTGGATAATTTATAAATCTCTTCAAAATCACTGTTTGCATATGCCTGGCAAAGTCGTCTTAGTTTTTTTCCCAGCTAAATGGCCAAAGTTTCCTCTCTACCCAGAAGCTTACCTCAGCCTTCTGTGTGCTGCCTAGTTCTGGGTTCAAATCAGCAAACGGAGAGCCAGCAAACAGCCCAGCAGTCATTACTCTCATTATGAATGTACATAATAACACAGTTTTTGGTAACACAACCACATTTTTTTTTTCTCTAGAAATGTTTTATTAACTTAGTGCTTATAAGGGGTCTGCTCTAGGGCTCAATCTGAGTTTTGCATTTAAGCAAGCTGCCTTCTGTCATTTTTCAATGAAGTTGAAAGAATTCTGTAATAAAAGGGACTTTTCAGCATGACTGAAGCCCCTGGTGTACCAGACTCCCTTCAACCTGCAAGACGTTAGGTGACTGCTTTAACCAACATTTTTAACAAGATGGACATTAATAAAGAACTTCAAATTTTCTTTAGAGCTTAGCATCTGACTTGCAAAGACGTAATGCAAGCAAATGTATGCTTTGAACCTATAGTTTGCTGCAGGGGTATGTTAAAATTTAGGTTACCAGCAACTCAAACTGCATGTCAAAAACCAGCAGCTATTTTTGGCTTTATTAGTGATGTACTTCAGCTTTCCATCTGTAAAATGGACACGATACATGCACAAATGTATTCCAAATGAGTTTGGAAACACAGTCTCTGATAGCTGTGGATACTCAGACACTATAAAAAGCACCTTAAAAGAGACCCTTTTTCTTTAGGACAATGTTCAAACAGCATACGATAAATAAAATAAGGGGCTGCACATGATGAACAACAAGGAATACACAAAATGCCAAATAACTGCTTTAAAACTGAACACCCTAAATCTACACTTTATATAAAGTAAAGACTCTAGAGGTTGGGTGAAGCTGTTGACCAAACCACGATTTCCTGAAAACGCATGTGCAAAAGAAATGTGAATTAAGGCTACACAGGTAATCCTTTTGTTACTTCTGAGTGCTTTTATAACCTCATTAAGTTCTTTTCACACAGAATGATTAACATTCAGCTTTATCAACTTTATAATTTTGATAAGTATTCCACCACTTCAGTCAGGTACAGGGTTGAATGTGAACAGGAAACCTGTACTACAGTAGGAATGCCCCTTCGCCTTAGGACCTAGAAAAAGTGTGCCCAACCATCTGATAGACAGAGGGGTGGATTTCCTTTCACACCCAGCTAGATTTATGGCCACTGTGTTACAATCTTAATCCAGAAACATACCTCATGCTCTTTGAGTTTCCTCAGGCTCTTCGCAGTAACATTACCAATATTCTTTCTGCTCAGAGGATCTGTGTTTTACTTTGATGCACTAGGCATGCCTATGAGATTATTTGCACTACCAAAAAATCATCCTCCTATT